CGCAGCACCCAGTTCCCCGGTCATCCGCTGACTCACGGGGACGTCCACCTTTCATCCCGCGCAGCTGCAGGAAGCCGAAGAATGGGAGCAAAGCGCGTGGGGAAGCCCCGTAATTACGGCCGGAGGGGAGGCAGGACGCGGCCGGTTCGGGACGTGCCCTGCGAACCTGGGATGAGGCCCCTGAGCCTCCTACGTCCCGACGCGCAGCTCCCGGGGCTGCACTCTGCCAGGCCCCGTCCTCGGCCCCGTCCTCGGGCCCCTGGCCCCATGGCCTTCAGGCGCGCAGGAGCCTCGGGCCAGGAGCCGCCAGTGACTCCGCGGGGACTCACGGGGTGACGCAGAGGAGGAAGGAACCTGAGCATTCCCGGTTCCTTCCCGGTTCCTTCCTGCCCAGGGCTGGCCGCAGCCCTCGCCTGGACAGGGCAGAAGCCGCGTCCTCTGGGCCCTCTGTCCCCGGTCCTCCGCCCCAGCTCTGTCCCCCACCTTTGGAGGCTGAGCCCCGCTCTGCCCGGAGGTCACAGCCTCTCACAAGTACGGGTCCTGCGTGGGTTGTTCCCTGTCTGCTCCCCGGCAGGGAAGGACACCCCTGTCCCCTCTGTGGCTCCCATGGGACCTTCCCTGGCCCACCCGCAAGTCCCGTTCACAGCCTGCCACCCTGCCCGGAGCCAGCCCCTCCAGCCTCCCCTCCCCTTCTCACTGGCCTCCCGGCCCCCACACTAAGCTTCTGTTTCTTTATTCCATGAGTGAGAGAGACGGCACCCCCAAAAGATCTGATGCCGTGACCCCCAGCCTCGTCCTGGGCAAGTGTGCCAGCAGGTCTCCACTGGGACCAGAACCTCCCAGGTGGGTTGGCTTCAGTGTTGCAGCTCACCGCCGGCCTCCACTCCTCCCCCAGACCCAAGAGCCACCCTCCACAATCCCCGAGGGGCCCCTAACACCGCGCACCACAGAGGCCGGGGGCACAGGGCACGGCGCTGGAAAGACCCACATGGGAGGGTTGTTCACACGGGGAGGCCTCCCCCGGCACAGCGGACATGCGTGTACCCGTCACCCGGGCTGGCCGTGGCTAGGGGTGGGCCACAACGCGAGGACCCTGTCAGGTGCCATGTTCTCTGTCTCTTCAATTCCCTGGAGACAGAGGGGAGATGAGAAATCACCCCCAAAGGGGATGGCCACGCCATTTCTCCATCGTCCTCTCAGGATCCTGGGCACGCACATGCACCCAACACGTTTCCCAAGCCACTGGGTCCAGGACTCACACTGCAGTCAGCCACGTGGGCTCCAGCCACCCCAACCACCACCCCACTGCCTGACCCTGTCTCTCGGGGTGAATATCTTTAGAGATGAAGTACACCCACGGTCCAGTCCTCTAGCACGGTGGTTAAGGGCGGTGCGGAGGGAGCTGGATCTCACATGGCTGGTCACAGTTCAAATCCCAGACCCGGCAGCTGGAAGTAGTGGGTGCATGTGCAGATCCCAAAATGGAGAAAAGGAGGATGTCGGGGGGAGGCGTGACCAGGCCCTGCTTGGGGAGCCCTCTCTCCCTCTGGCACATGCATATGCCCTGCAGGATGAATACACTGAACCATGTCACCTCTTCTCTAGTTAAGACATGTGGGGCCAGCAGGTGGCGCGGTGGTTAGGGGCGCTGGACTCCCACATAGCCCACCGTGGTTCGAGTCCTGAACCTGGCAGCTTCCTTTCTCTCTCTCCCTTTGTCCTTCTCTGGCCAAATTAAATTTTAAAATAAAGTTAAATAAACTAATTCTTAAAAAACAAAACTTGAGGGGCCAGCAGATGTCATAATGGTTACACTGCTGGACCCCCACATAGTTAACCGCACTTCAAGTCCCGGGTCCTGGTGGCTTAAACTCAGGCTGGGCACGTGTGCATGCGTGCCCAAGATCCCGAGAGGAGAATGGAGGAGAAGGGATTGCGGCGTGACCATCCCCCCTGGGGGGTGATTTCTCACTTTCTGTCTTTCTGGTGAGCGCACACACCCTATAGCAAAAACCTCTTAAAAAAATAAACAAACAAAACCAAAACTCAAACTCACACTGGGCCTGTGTGCATGTGTGCCCAAAATCCCAAGGAGAATGGAGAAGGGATTGCGGTGTGGCCATCCTCCCTGGGGTGATTTCTCGCTTTCTGTCTGTCTCTCCGGTGACCTCACATAGCAAAAATCCCTTTAGAAAAAAAAAAAACAAAACATGAAGGGCTTCCTATTGACTTGGACTAAAACCCCAGACTCTGCCACGTCTTGGCCTCTGTCCCAGCACCCTGGCTTGCTCCTCCCACTAAGCCCTTTCCACCCCGGTCCGGGTTCTCCGCAGGCCCCCTCCTCCCAGATGGCCCCCAGGTTGCTCCTCTGCCCACTCGGGCCCCTGCATCAGGTCCCTCTGCGGGATCCTCTTGCCCCTAATCTAATGCTGCCCTCCCCCAGAGCTGGCTTCTCTGTCACACTAGATTTCTCTCCCCAGCATGTGCTTGGCCTCATCTGCCATTTAGGTCCTTGTGCACTGTCCAGCCCTCCCACTAGAACGTGAGCGGAGACCTGGCCTGGCAGGCCCGCCACCTGGGCCCTATCTAGGACAGCGCCAGGCTCTGAGTCCTGTTGAATGAATGGATTTTTTTTTTTTTTTTTTGCCATAGGCGGGCGCCACCAGGCCCTGGATGTTTTTTTTTTAAAAAAGGTAGAACTTAGGGACCAGCAGGCAGTGTAGTGGTTATATCACTGGACTCCCACTTGGCCAACTGTGGTTCGAGTCCAGACCCTGAGGCTTGAAACACACCAGGCGTGCGTGCCCAAAATCCCCAAAAAGAGACTGAGAAAGGACTGTGGTGTGGTCAACTACCCCCTACCCGGAGGTGACTTCTCGCTGTCTGTCTCTGTCTCTCCGGCAGGCACATATGCCCTATAGTAAAAATCTATTAGAAAAAAAGAAAACACGACTTATTTTATTAATACTTAGTTTCATTTTTAAAAAGAATTATTCATTCATTTATTTAAATTTGACCAGAGAGAGACAGAGAGAGAGAGAGCGCGCACTGGCAGGTCTAGGACTTGAACCACGGTCGGCCATATGGGTATGTCTAGCACCTTAACCCCCATGCCACCTGTTAGTCCCTTAACTTCATTTTTTATTATTATTTTAATTTGCTATAGTGCACACGTGCTCACCAGAGAGGCAGGAATGAGAAAGAACGCTGTCAGGTCCGGGGCTCAAACTGTGGTCGGCCATGTGGGAGTCCAGCACTTCAACCACCATGCCACCTGCGGTTCCCATTGATAGATGTTTTATCTTTCCCACCTCCTGACATTTATCATCATCCAGAGGAAACTTTTTTTTTGGAGAGGTTTTTGCTATAGGGTGCGTGCGCTCGCCAGAAAGACAAAGACAGAGAGGGGGACAGAAAGTG